CTGTAATTTAATTACAGACAAGCAAATAAACAATCTCAGAGTTTTAGTAGTATATAGATTACTATTTCGAGTTACGTGATCGTTCACTTCATTAAAAAAAATTCATATTCATGTCTGGATCTGTATGTGTTTTGGATGTTTCCGTTTTTTTGTGTGTGTGCTAATGTGTTATTTAGTATTAGTGTTGGGCATGTATGATTACTTTTATCATTGCCTGTAAACCGTTTCAAATGTGACCAAAATTGCATTGGATGTGTTTCATCGTTGAGTTGCGAACAAACATTATCCCAAGCCTTCTTGTTTCAGCTGTTTTACTTCATTTCCTATTTTGGTTCTCGTTGTATTAATTGTTTGGTTTCCTGTGCTCATATACTGTCTGCGTAGTTGGCGTCTTCCTTTTATCATTTGTAACAGTTGTGTTTTGGTTTACATTTGTTTACTAATTTCTTTTTGTTGTTTTAAGCACAAAGCTACACAATGGGCCCTCTGTGCTCTGCCCACCACGGGTATTGAAACCCGGTTTCTAGCGTTGTATTTCCGCAGACATGCTGCTGTGCTACTGGGGGGGCTTACTGATTTGATAAGGCACTCAGTGACCATTTAGCAGTGTGCGTCTATTATGGACAGACTTGTATCACTTTCAATGATCGAATCAGATGTTAATTGGTCTAGAGTGGCTACAGTCATGCCAGTTCGCTTTTTGTAATTGCATTAATTTCTCCATATTTGTGGCGGACGAGATCGAAGACACACCAGATTGGTAAGTGATCGCTATCGACATCATACCCTACATTAAAAGAACATTTTTGGCTGAGATTGGATGAGCTCACACAGAGATCCAATATGTCTCTGGTCCTATGTGATGCGATCCGATGTGTGTTGGGGCAGAATCATTTAGAAGAACAAAATTTGTGGTCTCCAAAAAATTTAGAAGTTGGCGAACATTGGTGTTAGTTGTTTTGCAACAGAAGTTAACATACTCACCGTTAGTGTCCAATGAACACATAATTCAGTTTGAGTAATATTATGTAATAGACTGATGTCAATATTTTTCATGTATCATCTGAGGATACTGTTTAGTTTGGTGTATGTATTTGTACAACAGTCACTAAAAGTGCAGAGTTCTGTAACAAGGTTATTCTTGTGTTTGGAGTGTTGAATCAAGACCTTTCCACCGTTGGGTTGGGGATGAATTAAAATTATACAAAATAGGAAATATTGTACTTCGGAGTGGGATTTTTGCACAGAGGGAATTCCCTCTCTGAATTTAACACTGACTTGGATCGTATTTGTTCTTTCTATCTTTTCTCCGAACATTACATCCAGGTTTGGTTTGAATTTCGCACAAAGCTACACGAGGACTATCTGCGCTAGACGTCCCTAATTTAGCAGTGGAAGACTAGAGGGAAGGCAGATAGTCATCACCACCCACCGCCACCTTTTTTTACCAACTAATAATGGGATTGACTATCACATTATAAAGCCCCCACAGCTGAAAGGGGCGAGCATGTTTGGTGGGACGGGGATTCGAACCCGCGACCCTCAGACCGCGGGTCAGGCGCCCTAACCACCTGGCCATTACATCCAGGAAAACGTAATTTATTAATTTTAGAGCACTGTTTCTCCAATATATAAAATATCATGTCTTGGTTGTTTTATGATGTCCTTGAAGCAAGCACACTTTGGATGTTGACATGTGATAGAGTGAACTGATGGAAGAAGTATCCCGTAAGTCATGAGCTGATTTGGGGGATGGGTGGTATTTTTTGTGATCATTATTAGAATATGGAAACATTCTTGTGTTCGTTGAGGTTTTGTATAATCTGCAATGATATTTTTAATTGCTTCCATGATTATGCTTGATTTTGTGTTCTTCATTATTGCCGAAGTGTTTCTTTTAAAAGCCCAGGGTTTTGTATTTGTAGAGGAGCAATTATTTGTATTTGGCATTCGTGGTGCAAGTGTTTTGCTTACCGCTGATGCGTTCGTCTGTGTACGAGTCTCCGTAAGGAGGGAGGCACTTACTTCCCCTGGATTAAAACAATTGTCTTTCCCCAATTATAACTCTGATATCATTTGACATCTTGCTTATCCTGTAACATATCCCGCGGACTTCCATGCTTTTTGTGTTTGGTGTTAGACGAACAGGCCGAGTTTGGCAGTCATTTCAAATTTTACTGCCTTAATGCCGCGAATGAGAGCTCAGCTGAGTGAGGTCAGTAACTATATATACGAGGAAACCTAGCCAAGTGAAAGAGACGTTTGATGCCGCGTAACATGGCACCTTTGCATTGGACAAACGATTCGTGTATTATTGTTCATAAGAGTATAAATGAACAGCTATATACTCTCGTTAATAGCATTAGCTTTCAAGTCTAGAACTGTCAAGTTATTTTGCTAGTATTAAAATAAAAGTATAATCTCAAGGTTGCAATGATCCAAAATACTTAAAGAATGTGTTTTCATCATATGACAAATATTTTCAGGTAAACATACCGCAAGTTTTGTAAACTAGTCTCTATGTTCTGGTTTACTTTAGACTTTAACAAACATAACAAAACAAACTTGAACGACAAGATATAATTAAAGGATATTTTCTTTGGAATTACATGTATTAACATTACTAAATATACCACTAAAGAGATTCTTTATATTAATATTAAAAAGCGATTTATATTTATTCCAGGTGGAAGGATAAGGGAGCAAAAGTTGCAGATAAAGTAGTTCGCTTTGTGACTTTTCGATATACAGAACAACTTGGCTAACTAATAAAGTTTGGAATTGATAGTCGGGAGATTAGAGATATTGTTTAAATAAGTTTATTGGAATGTAGAACGGTGGGTGGAAAGAGACATTTATTGCTTTTAACTATAGTGACTGAAATTTTTGAAGTATGAATTCTGGCATTAATAGGGCAACTATGCAACTGTATTCGATAAGAGGACGGATGTATGTTTTATAAATTATGATCACTAACGAAGAGTCTCATCCTTTGTTGTTGTCGCTGATTAGGCGAAGAGAGTTGATGCATCTGCTGACTTTGGGAGCTAATTTTAGGGTTTGAGGGACCAGGTCAATTTTTTTTTCAGAAGGTACACACCTAAAAATGTAACTGTATCGGGGAACACGATAGATATAGGCGTTGTTGAATTATAATTTGACTTGGAAAGTTTTTCAGTATGGTTTGTTTAAAATTCCTATGAAATGTACTAACTTCTGTTGTTTTTCTTCTTTGTTAGGATTTAAACCGATTTGCTAGCAGGAACACCATTGAGTTACGGAGTTGATAATTGTTTGAACTCTTGCAGTAGCAATGAAATGTCGTTAATAAAATAATGTGGGGCAAAGGAAAAAGGACAGAGCCTTGGGGGCATGTGCTGATAAAGAAAATGGTTTGTAGAGAATGTTACTTATGCGAACTTTGTTTGTTTGTTTTTGTTTGTTTTGGAATTTCGCGCAAAGCTACACGAGGGCTATCTGCGCTAGCCGTCCCTAATTTAGCAGTGTAAGACTAGAGGGAAGGCAGCTAGTCATCACCACCCACCGCCAACTCTTGGGCTACTCTTTTACCAACGCGAACTTTGACGAAACGGTCACAAAGAAATCCAATGAATGATTATATTTGAAATATTGAGTCTGAATAGTTTATAACAGCCTATTATGCCATACGGTATCAAAGACTTTTTTTTCGTGTCTATAAATATAGCTATGATTTAATAGTTTGGTTTACAGACCTGATGTACAGATTCTGTGTTACAAGATGATCAGAAGTTTGGCATTATTTCCTAATAGAATTTTGGATTTCAGAAAATGTTGGAATCTAGTACAGATGGCTTTCCCTAGGAGTTTGCTGATAAAGTTTAGAAGACTAATGGACCTGTAATTTTGAGGATGACAGTAATTGGAGTTTTTCTTGCAAATAACCGAAATAGTCACAGATTTCTAGATAATGGAAATAACATGGAATACATTAAAAACTGCAATAAGTTGAAATAGAAAATTGGAAGTTTGTTTCAGAACAAAGTTTCTAATTGAGTTTTTACCTAGACACTTGCTGCTTTGAGGACTTCAAATACATTTTAATTTTGCCTTTTGATAAGAAACAGTCAAAAAGTTGAACAAAAAACAGGACTGAACAGCTCTCTCCATGTCCAATAAAGTCACACCTCAATCAGAGCCTTCTCTGTGGTCCATGTTGATCTTAGACAGTACTGGTACAACTGGAAGGCCAACATCAGATGATTAGTTAATGCTAGCCTTCCCAGGATGCTTACATCAATGACCTCTATCAATCTCATCCATTTAGTTTGTTTGTTTTTTGGCTAGTCATGTGCTTCTTCTTCATCTACTTCCCATTTTCTCCAATGAACATTACATCTATTACAATCAATTCATAAACAGGAAGAAGAGCTAGTCTTGACTGGCTTATGCCAAACACCTAACACAACTGGTTAGTTCACCACAACATACCTGAAGAACTCGGCATGGAGCCTGACCCAGCACAAAGAAAATGTCAGTAGATATGCATAAACGTTTTAATCAATAAGACATAACTAAGAACTCTAACAAATTATACATAACAGCAAAGTATTTATATTGAAAATATTTAGTCATATAAAGTTCTTGTAACTATTTAACAATTTAAGAAAAACCAATATATAACTAGTATGGTAAACTTATTTCAACTGAATTTTAATGTCAATTAATTTTACAATATACCAAAAAAATTAAATAAGAGTGAACAGAGTAAAATTAAAAAATACAGTTACAAATTAAACTTGCTGTATGTTGCAAACTTGTTGTATAAAAACTTGTAAATCTAAGATGACAGTCTATAATTAAATGTTGCAATAAATTATGGATATACATTGTATTTTTGTATTTTATTGAAAATAAACATAAATAAATAATCAGGAATCCAATAATTTAATTTTACATCCAGTACCTCAAAATGCCTTAAAATTAATGTTGCCAAAATTCTGAAAGGTCAACTTATTTAAAAGTTTAGTGTTCCCCCAAAAAAAAGAAAGAAAAAGAACAGTGATAAAATATCAACATTTTTTTTTCACAGAAAAATCATATGTTTGTACAAAAGGGCAAGATATATCAGATAAACAGAAATAGGAGATATTGTTACACAAGAAGGTTCTTTACATCCTTAACTACAGTGTACTTGAACTTTATATCAAAAATAACTTCTTTAAATACATATTTTACAATGTTATATCTACTATAAAAATATTTAGCATATTTATATGTAGAGGATATTACCATAAAAATAGTTGCTTAACTTTGCTGTTAATTTTTTTTTTAAGTTCTCTTGCAATTTAACAGATCTAGAGTATTTATGCAAGTTGATGTTACACAAGTTTCATTATTAGGCAGTAGTACACAAGTAAATGCTTTACAGATGCAAGTAATCAATAAACATAACTGAAAGTGAAGAAAGTTGACTTGTAATTATAATACATCTGTTATAAAAGTTTTCTTGAAATGTCAGATAAAAGTTGGTAAAAACAATAAATACATATATACTTATGTAAAGAAAAACTCAAGTTTTCAGAAATCTATACTACAAATTTTATGATATACTTAGCCCTTCAACAACTTCTTGATTATAATAGATTACACACACTTAAAACATAAATAACTTATGGACATTTAATAGTAACTGAATTTATTAAATTATAATTTCTTCCTTAAATATTTTGTGCAGCACAATAATCACAATCCACTGATTTTAGAATTATTACAAAAAATCCAAATATGCTATGTAATTTTATTTTTATGAAAATGTGATTGTATTTGTTGGATCTTTCTGGAATTTGTTTCAAAATGTATCAAATTATGTGCCATTGAAAAAAAAAAGTCAATACCAGACTTTAACCAGCTTCAAAATTATTCAAAATGAGGCAACATACAGCTTACTTTAAAGCTTCAGAAATCTGTATTAGCTATTAAAAATATAATACACCAAAAATATATTCACGATTAGTCCTTTTACTTTCATACATTATTACTAAGACTGTATTTCTTGTTTAACTATGTAATCAATATTTTACTTCAAAAAAAAAACAGAGCATACACAATATGGAAGCTAAAACTCAAATTAAAATAAAAACAATCAAAATGATGGCATCATCGTCTAACGAAGAAAAACAAAATCAATATTTTTAAAATTCAAATATTAATGGTTATACTTGCCATAACCTTTTTCATATATAATTCAGCTTAGAGATATTTAAACTTCCACACTAATTATTCTATTATACTTATAACTTCCTGTGTTTACAAGTGTGTATTTTTTAACATAAAAGTTGGATAGCATAAGTAACAAAATATGTCTAACAGAATACACCATTACAAAATTTATTAACATTATTTCTTTAACATTGTATTATTTACACATATGCAATAATAAAATGTGGTCTTACCCACCACCACACCAGTCTTCACTGAAAATTTGAAAAATAAGAAACAAGTTATAGAACCATCTTTCTTTATTGAAAATCATTTCTTAGTGACAGGATCAGTTTCCTTTTTTCAAGGGTTATCTCACTTAAGCCTAATTATGGTTATGCCATGAAGACAACAAATATGATAAAAAAAATTATCAAAACTGCAAAAATTTTTATCATTAACCAACGATTAGATGAGATGGACTGGAAGTACTTTAGTATCTCCAAATGGGCTGCCTCCACATTTAATTGAGTGTCTTCAACGTTAGAATCAATTCTATGAAGATAAAAATTAACATTGGTTTAGCAGCATCAAAATATTCAACTCTTTCATGCTCAGATGGGTGCATTATACCTTGAGGGCAAACTTGCACCACTGAATTAAAAAAAATTATAGAAAATACTTAAGTCATTTTTTTACAAATAAAAAAACAAAACAAAACTGCTGACTTGAAATTTATTCTATGAAAACGTTTTATGTACTTAATTTTATGTATAAAATTTTTTTTAAATCACAAATATTGATTTTGTGTTCACTTCAACTTGCTCCAAACAAAATTATTAGTGTTTGCAAGTTTCCTGAACTTTTTCTCAGCACAATATGACTCTTATAGCCTCCTGGGAGGAAAATCTTGGTAGTTTTGAAAAAAAAAAAAGTGTTAATTTATCTTATTAAATCAAATAAAATTTTTTATACATTTTTAGCCAGTCACTGTTTCTCAACTGTGGTTGTCATGTAATTACTTATATCTAAGTTTTAAAATCATAGGTTACTGATCTAAACACATAATGAAAGCTCTTTTTCCACTCTTTTTAATTGTAAAAGCCAAAAATGCTTTCATTTTATCAGTGTATAGAACAGAATCAAGTTATAAAAGCTTCACTTGGTGATATGTTGCTACAAGAAAAGGTGTTTGTGATCAACTTTTCTACAATTTGTCTTTTTTTTTAAAGCATGCTTTATTATTTTATACTTCATTTTAATTATGATGTTAAAATATTATATAAAAAGAAATTTTTTGTGGAACGTGACGAGGCAAGCTTAGTTAAATCATCTTGCACTAGAACGTGTCAAATTGCACCTATAAAGCCACTGTATTTAGACCATATCAGCTTAAATTAACTGCTTGGATGGACAAAGAAACTCACCAAAAATAAATGTAAATATATATAGACACACACACGAGTATAAAATGTGTTTAAACATATTACATATATTAAGTGAAACCTTCTGAGTAACCATTTACAAATTTAATTTTGGTGTGGTAAATAAGTTATTTTTATTGTATGTCAGTGATTGTTAACAGTAAAATTGCATACATTGGTTTTCTAATAAAATAAAAGATAAAATTTACAGTTTCATAAAATAAAAACTTTATAAGAAAGTTTCTAAAAATGAAGGAAGACAAAAATCAGTAACAACAAAGGTAAGCTTTTTTGATTGTTTCTTAAAAAATGTATCATAATGAAATATTTTCAAAATTTCAAAGCTGCGAATTCATACAAATACCACATATAAAAATAAGATATTTTATTTGCACCAACTACATAACATGTAAAAAAGTAATTACAAGGTTTCAACCTATTTCATCCAGTATATTTTTCCATGATATAATAAAACAAAGCCTATAATAGGTGGGTCCAATCGATGCACCCTGATCTCAGAGTTAATAAAAACACCAAGTAGCATAACTTACAACTTAAGCCTTCCAATATTAACATGAACTTTGAAATTTTTAATATTCACAGCGAAATACTTTTATTATGTTTATGTTACTCATAGCTAAAAGAATGGGAAGTACCTAACCTTTGAACCATCTCCTCTTGTTCCTTAACCATTAGGGCAAGTTGCTGGAAAATGGAACCCAGTTCCACAATAGTAGATTCTATGTTCTGCATCGTGTCAGCTCTAGTCTGGATGTAGGCATCCTAGGATTGTAAATACAGCTTATGTAGTGTAATTATAAAATACACCGAAATGCTATTTCATTCAATGCATGCCTACTGTTTAAGGAATATTGAGACAGCTAGATATATATATATATATATTTGTTTGAATACAAACTGGATGATTCATATTTTCTGTTTAAAAACAAAAGATTATTGTTTTAATAAACATGGTAAAAACATGTTATAAGATACAAAAGTTAATGTTAAGGACGATTGTGGCTACAAAAGTGTAAGAAAAAATGACATTAATTTGTACTTCAGAAATAATAAGTACAGTTTAGAAGCATGAATTTTACAAAACTCAATGCATATAACAAAAACATAATTTTATAGAGAAAACACTTGAGGATAATATTTCTATCAAATACACAGTTTTATTAACCCCATAGACACAAAATAAACTGATTTTAAGAATCTGCCAATTCCCTTCAATAAATTGTAAATAGTATTTAAATACACTGTGAAATGCCTTAAGATTCTAATATCCATTTCGTTACACATTAAGCATGAAAGAATGAATATCGATCTCTATAATAAAGATGGATAATGACAGATACTTAAGGTTTTTCAGAAATGCAAGGAAAGAAATCGAAAAGAACAAATTACAAAACATGGAAAAGATGTGACATCTAGTGAATTTGCTAATGATTACACACAACTAAAAAAATCTTATTGTCTAAACTGTATTAAAATTGAAAACTTAAACAAGAAGAGTAAAAACACTTAACACTGTATATCATTCTTACATGTACACAGAAATGATCTTGAATTACCTGCTCATCAATCAGTTGCATCTGTTGGTAATGATCCTGATGGTGATCCATGTTAATCATCACTTCAGAGTTAGCTCTTTCATCTGCCAACAGAACTGATCCATTATGTCCAGATGTTACAGATGGTGGGAGGGTAGCCGATACAGTTCCCTGGGTAAATTGTTCTCTTCTATTTCTTTGATGCTTTAAATTCTGTAATAATTTTTTTTTAAAGGTATTGAAAATTTTAGGTAAAGAAGTTGAGCACAGTAATACCAAATTTTCATACCCCCAGTCAGTATATTATTTTTACACTGCCACTCTCAAACCAAAGCACTGTCTAACTAATTTTACAGACAGAATTTACATGCAATTTTATTCATGTAATTGACAGTTTATTTAAACACTTACAATAAAAAAAGGGCTGCTACCATCCAAACTACCTGCTAAAAAATTCATTTTGTTTTAGTATTAACTACTTCCAAGCTAGTACCTACCTAATGAAAGTTGCAAGTCCACTCTGATCTAGTATTAATAAATTCCCGAGATGTTATAAATTCACACTTATCTAATTTTAACTACCTGCTGAATCCACTCTGGATTTTTTTTTCTGGGGTTATAAAATTAACATGAACTGTAATTAACAACATAATGAAAGGTTATAGCTCCAGTAATATCTAGTATTAACTGACTTCTCAGAAACACATATCCATATCTTGAGCAAGTATTATGTACTTTATGAGATACTTTAAATCTAAACTGTTCTCTGGTTAACTTCCTTATGCTTTAACGATAATGACCACTGAGAGTTCCCTCATAAAAACCTAGTAGTATTTAAATTCTAACAAGTTTTAATGGTAAGATGTGCAATGTATACATAGCTGATTTCTGAGAATTTTGTTTTAAGCTTAAAACTCACCTCTGTCCTAACTTCTAGAACCTGTTTGAAGTCATTTGACATCATGGCCAATTTTGACTGAAAAAATATACACATTAGAGTAAAATATTTCATGGCAGTAACTGAATTATATATAAAACAACAGGTTGATCATACAGTCGTTTGTTAACACACCTCTAAATGTCTTAATAAATGGATTTGTTTTTTAAATATCAATATTACTCTATGACATAGTTATCAATAAACTATAGATCTTATTTAAAACATTTTTATAGAAAAGAAACTATTACTTGTATGTAACATCATAGCATATAAATATGAGACATGCTTTCAAGAATCACATCTACATCTTTAAAGAAATTAAAACAAACAAAAAACTACCACAACCCATCAAACTTCCAATGAAAATGTTTTAAACACATAAAAATAAATAAGAAAACATGCTGTTTACACATTTAAAATGTAATTACTATTTTGTTTCTATGTAAAATGACAACAACAGAAAAGAAGGTGATTACAACCATGTATTTTTACCTGCAGAGTAACAACAATAGAATTGGAATGTGACTGCATGTGCCTCCCTTGTTTATGACTTCTTGCTTTGGATACCTAAATAAACAAAAAATAAGAAATAATATTATCATCAGTAGGATAAAAATACTTTTATTTACTAGCTAATATAACCTCTCAAATAAGAACTAAAATCAACACCCTTTTATTATCACTAGGATGTACACATTTATACACACTAATTTAGCTACCAGCTAATATAAATTTTACATTCAAATTAAAACCGATCTGACTGTATGGTCGTGAACACCGTATTTCAATATTTACCTAGATCTTTCATGCTTACTCTGAACAGTTAAAATTTCATTCTGCCAAACATAATTTTGAATTCTTGCAATGAATGCTAATAATAAAAGTAATATTCAGCAATCTTATTCAAAAACCAACAAAGAATTTTAATGATAGAAAAAGCTTCTGTGAAAGCATATTATAAGAAGAGGTATACTTAAAATCTCCAACATACCTCTTGTAACTGTGCTATTTGTTTATTTAGACTGTTGATGTCCTGTTTTATTATATATGTTAGCTCTTGTATCTCTATTGGTTGATCATCAAAAAGGGACTTCTTCTTGGCCACTGAATGAATAATAATAATACTGTCCTTAATAAATAAACAAATTAAATAACAATATTCTTCCAATGCTATTTCTTTAATATTGTTGGGAGCAAGTCCTTATTAATTATTAAGCTTTCCAATTTTTCAGTTACTTATTTTGACAAACTAAATTTTGTTTTCAAACAACTTGCATTGAATGAAAGAAAAACAAATTCAATTTAATAAATCTTAACATTATCTTTAGCTGTTCCAGCATTTTATACACAACAAAATAAATCTTAACATATTACCTGAAGCTATTCTACTATTCTATACTTGACATATCAAATGTTAACACTTTGACGCTGAAAATGTATTTCTCATAGGTACTCACCTCCCATCACACAAAGCTATCTCGTTCTTCTTTCTGCCCCTAAGCATTGCTAAAACATTTTAATGCTCAGTGCACAATGCTATATACCCCACAATATTTGCACCACTTTTGAACATCTATATGGCATTTTACCACTTTCCACCAATAGTATTGTGCCACAACCATCCTCAACAATAAAAGGTTGAGGATCACTGGGTAAAAAAAAATTAGAGTAACATAAACATTGTGGCTAGAGCACATGAACAAAAATATATAGACACACACACACACACACCAACCATAAGTAAACAGAGTGTCATACTTCAAGCAACTGGAATTACAAAGAGGAAGTTAGCATTCAGCCAAAACCAGATAAACTCGAAAAAACACTGCAGGAGCAAAAAGTACAACAAACCAAACCTGGCATTATGAGGTCATGTAATAACAGGGCAATACCTATAACTGGTGTTAAAAACAGAAATATTATAATTCACCCAACCGTAAATGCAGGGAAGACATCCTGCACCTGGAACTACGAGAAAGTGGAACATTTACTCAACAGGAACAGCACGTACTTCCTGTTTCTGGTTTTATGAGGCAGATGAAGTCAAACTCAAACATAGGTCCAGGGAAAGAAACCTCTTGCAACCAGAATTAATGACAAGGTGGGCCTCTACTGCATTCAACTGTGGGAACAGGGTGATGTCATCTTGAACCGGGTATCACGAAGAGGATCTTACATAGGCTGGTCCTGCTCCAACCAACATTCAGTCCACAATAAGCATCCAGAGGAAGTGGAAAGAGGGAACCCAGCTTTGCCATATTCTCACTGAATGGATAAATATGTGGTTGTATTGTAAGGTAAATTTCTACTTCAAACTCAGGAGGAGGACTCCTTGGACCACCACCCCAGTGACAGAGAATTGGTAAGTGGTAAGAACTCCCATGCTCACCTTAGGGGAAAAAAAAGGTAATGAGCAAATGCAGCCAGGAGTCTGTATAATTCAGTAACAATAAACAAATGCAAAAAAATATTTTGAAACAATTGAAAGCAAACACAGTAAGATAAAACTGTTGAAAAAGGTATTGAAATGTCAATGAAGTACAATCATAAACAGTAGTCACATGTGAAAAAAAACATGTCTAAATGATGCTGTGCCAATCGAGAAAGTGAGGATTGAGTGGAAAAATCAGAGGGAGCTAACTGCAGCAATACAGGTGGCACAATACTATTGGTGGAGGGTGGTCACATGATGCAATATAAATATTCAAAAATGGCATGAAATTTGTGTGGTATATAGATGGTGCATATAGTGTTAGCATTTTTTAGCAATGCTTAGGGGGCAGAAAAAACATCGAAAAAGCTATGTGTGAAAGAAGGGAAGACTATCAGAACTTAACATATTACCTGAAGCTGTTCTACCATTCTATACTTGACAAAACAAATCATAACATATTATATGAGACTGTTCTACCATTCTAAACTTTACAAAATAAATCTAAATTTATTATCTAAAGCTTTTCTACCATTCTATTCTTGAAAAGAATAAATCTTAATATCTAACCTGAAGATGTTCTACTTTTTTATATTGGATAGAAGAAAAAATCTTAAAATACTCTTGTAGCTGTTTATCATTTTATACTGGACTAATATTGCTACCCAAATATTTTAAACAAGGATTATTGTAATCACTGTCAGCACATTCCAAAATATTATCTTAACACCCTTATACCATCCACACAATCATGCCAGCACATGTAATCAAAAAAGTAAGTTATATCTTCAACTTACATAATGTTAGTTTCTCCAGCTTTGTAAATGTATTGCTGATATCTCTTCCAATTTGTCTAATTGAAAAGAACAATAACAAAGACTTGAGATAACAAGTTTGCAAGAAACTAAGCTAAACTAAGTATTTAATAACATATATCTATCTATAATCAAACTGCTTTATTTTTCAAACTGGAGTGGAACTTGTCTTTCCCCACAAAACACAACTGTTATTGAAACATACAGAAATAAGCCTTAAACAGATAAATCACAGTCACGTTATTCCAAAAAATGGTTGTGAGGACAATGCCAGATGTATCCATATTGCTTATAACAAGTAATTCATCAGTTTTAATAGTTGCAGAAATAATATAAAATCCTATACTAGACCAATTAATCATAATGTTTCTCTGACTGAAAAAAAAATTACCGGTAAGGATTTTGATCATGTACTTCTTTTTTAAGGGACTATGCACTAACAATAGTTTTACACCAACTTAAAACACTGAATTAAGTGTTTAAGTGTAATCAACATATTTTTACAAATAGGTATACTTTTCAATAATTAATCTAAATTTTTTAAACTTTTCCTGGTCAACATTGTTGGGCCATGACAATATCCTTTATTTTGCATAAAAAAAAAATTCTGAACCACAGAATATATATCAATAAAATCAGTGTAGAATAACATTTCTTAATTTTCTATGCCTGACAATATATCACTTGACAAGCATTGTTGTAGCACATTCCTCTATTGATTAACCAACTTGAAATCAGAAAGGTATTGAACACAGAACTTAATGTTCCTCAAATGAAGGAGATCATTAATTAAAACAATCAATGGACTAAAATAACAGTTTATATAGCAGTGACTGATCAAAAAACAACATATTTGTTATCTTATTACAGCTAGTAATAGCATTAAGTTTGTTTGTCCATATTACCCCTACAATGTATTTGTGGATTACTGAATCATATATATTCTTGGACCTTTAAACAAACCTTCAAACATGAACATACATGCTGGATTTGTTGAAGCATCACTGTAATTAGCATTTTGTACTATCATTATGACATGTATATGTCAAGACTGACACCAATAACCATGCAATTAATGAGGACTTTCAGGAAATCAAAAGATCCTTCTTTAGAAGCACTCAAACTTTTGGAATTTGTAGGATTTTTCAGTGATATTTTACCTCAAAGAAGCATTAGCTAGAGAGAATTCTTTCTACAACTTAAAGGTTCATTGTATTTAATCACAAAGCACAAGAATATAGATTTTTAGTACTGTAACCTAGCTACGTGATAATGTAACTTGACAGTTCACTACCGCAACAAGAAGCATACTTTGCAATTTTCATGAAAACATTCCAGTCCTGCAGGTCCTTTGTTTGTCTATTCTGTTGAGGTTTTACATATCCATTTCCCTATATAAAAACAATAAAACACAGGTTTAACATTTTCACAATATTTTTGAGCACCAATTTTTAATGCATGTAGTAAGTTGTATTTAGAATTTTCATGCAAGGCTACCAATGGTTATCTGCACATATTTGTCCCTACTTTTGAACTGACAGACTAGAAAGAAAACAACTACTCAACAGTACCCACTACCAAAGCTTGGGTTATTCTTGTCTAACAGAATAGTTGGATTTCACCATCATTCTTATAGTGCACCCAAAGCCTCAGAGTATGGAGTGTGTTTTTCTGGATATAGGATACAAACCCTTAGATTAACAGTCCAGGCACACTAATCGTTGAGCTTCATCAACCCTTATGAGTTACGATGGTTTAATTTTTTGCTTTTTTGGGGTAGATAAAAGACTAGTGTTTAGTTATATGCAATTTATTTTAATGAAATCTTGTAAAACATTAAGATCAAAAGTGCTTAACAAAAATAATCTCATACTGATGCTTCACCAACACTTAAAGATAATTAAGTGGTTTCAACTTAAACAGACTACTTAATTATCTTTAAGTGTTGGTGAAGCATCAGTACTCTTAAGGTTTAAAGCTACAGAGAGTTGGACTGTACAGTGTTAAAAGCTACTTTAAGAAGTGTATTTTTGAGTATGACAACTTAAACGGACTGTACAGTGTTAAAAGCTACTTTAAGAAGTGTATTTTTGAGTATGAAACTCTCTGTAGCTTTAAGCTTTCTTAACAGTAGCTTTTTACATTGTACCAATGTCCAAGTCTGCATATACTGTATATCTCCAAGTAACGATTAAATGGCCAAAGTTATATATTGGTCTTTTAAGTTTCAACAAAGTACAACTGTACACACAAAAGTTTATTTTAAGACCTATTACTTATGTAGCTTTTAACCATTCACTCATGTACAAAAAACCTCATTTTCACAAGCTTCAAACCTAAATGAATAAACACAAAAACACATTGTAAAGCAATGAAATACACAGTGAAGGTCATTTACTTTTTGAAGCGAGTCAGTGATGAGTACATTCATATCTCATTATCATTTACACTCTAAATGCTTACATTAGGCTGGCCAGTTGTTTTTTTGGATATGACTAAAAAATGGCATTACTTATGTGAAAGGCTATCTGTAAACAAGAACTTCAAAATTACTCTTAGGTTATAGGAAACAAAACATCTTGTTTAAAGTACAATGAGTGAATTAGAAGTTAGATAAACATTCAACTCAAAGGGTTACCAAATACATTTCATTTTATATATGTTAATGAAAAAAATAATAAATGCATAAAATAGACATATTTTTTCTCTTTTAGACTGTACAAAGAAAAACTGCTAAACTAAAAGCAGGTCTACATTACATTACAAAAGCCTATGGGCAGTCGATTGGGTGTATGGTATTTAGAGTAAATACAAGTGAAATCTGAAAATTAACTAACTTAATTGTAGTGAACTTCATGATGAAGTCATAATGACTAACTGCATTAAATATGCATGGTTAACTCTTTGATACAAACAATGTTAAAATTTCTTCTAAACCTAAGATATAATTTGTCTCTTTGACTTTACCATTCTTCCTTTCATTGATTTTACAGTGGCCATAAATTCTACTGTTCTGTCTCTACTCGTCATTTCTGGTTCAGCTTGGTTTGACACAAATGATTTGCTAGATCCAGATTCAGAAATGTAGGTTGTAGAGATGCTCTGCAGAGATACACCACCTTGCACCCCTCTCTCTGACTCTGACCCAGTACGTCTACGTCTTGCACTCATTAGGAAAAATAACTAAGGGCATTCCACACAAACTATAAGAATATGCCTAAGAAAAAAAGATTGCATCAAGAAATGAAGACAATACTAATAATGTGGTTAGAATAAATTTATACAATGTTTCAGCAGTTTAATCGGTGGTCATACAGGTGTTTGTACATTTAGTTTGAAAAGTTGTAGGTAACAGAATTAGCAGACAAGGGGTGGAATGGGATGAATTTATAACAGTGTATGTGAGAAAGAATAATTCAATTAGGTTATCATATGAATGAGAGTCAATGCATTTCTATACTATCTTTATCAAGAATTATGGGCAAGACCCTAAGCATGCAAGTAACTTTTTAAGTATAATGGATGGACAAGGAACTACAAGTAGGTAAATACATAATATGCTCTTGTTTTTTCATTTTTTATACATAAGTTAACATACATACACTACTTCTTATGAAAGATGGGTGGATGAATTAAAAACCTGAACATATGCACACACTTCTGTTTTTATAAAAGATGGATAAACAAAAGGATAAATGCGCACATTTTTATTTTAATTCCTTCTTTTTAAATTACAAATGTTTTACGAGAGTACATTCAAATTAATTTCATTAGGTTTAAACAACTTTTTTGAAATACCAAACCTTTCTAATTCTAACGGGCAAGACGATGGATATATAAACACATGTACATATAATCTATGTTTTTTCAATGTCCACAAACATTTGGACTTAAAATTTCAGCTTTACTTTTAAAACAATTTAATACAAAAGTGGTAAATGTTAAAATATAAATTACAAGATCTATGAAGAAATATGTTCCGATAAGTTACTACTGTATGAGAAATTTTAACATTAAAAATTATTTGCATGTGAAGGCTAATTACATGTAACTTCCCACCTATCATTTATTTATAAAACTACATCCAAATATGATGTCATTTTTACCTTTACTCATCAGGCATGATGTTCTACCATTCAGTAAAAGTTATGCATGGGTTTTGATACTTGAAGAGTCAGTCTACTTCAAGTTATAGCCAGGTCATCTACTCAAAAGAAATTTTAATATTTTTACCACTTATCATCATTAATGTAACAAAAACAAAAATATTGCTTACAACAACAAGTAACAAAATAATTATGTTTATACGTTAAAGTCAGAATAATTAAATTTTAAAAACATGCAACTTGATCCAAACAAAAACTGCAAACAGAAAACATAAACAATATTTGAAAGTTAAAGAAAAATCATCTGGTTCAAAATTATTAACAACAATGACAGCAGTATGTTAAGATATGTTTTAAATTTTTCCAAATACGCAATATTGTAAATACTGTTAATGTAAGTTATGTGTATTATTAGTGTTAAATACATTAACAATATAGAAGACTAGGAAAACTAATGCCTGCCACAATCTTCAAGATAACAATCACGGAAATACAAAAAGGGGGCTCACTGTAACTTAGTCTAAGTGCTTTTTTTTAAATTTAAATATCTTAACCTCATAACTTACAATACGTTACATAAACTTATGTTAAAAATAAAAGTTAACATTTTAATTTAAAACCAAAAGTAGGAATTTTCACATCTAACCTTGGTAAAAGTAATAGTAGAATGATCATAGAATTTGGTTTTTGACTCTTTTTATGCCTAGTCAGATTTATAACAGAGAAAAAATGTGACGTTTTTATCTTAAATTAACAAATAATAGCCTATAGAAGCTTTACCACTTGATTTCGCCTTCTGTAGAATTCTTACGTACGTATAACACGAAGATAACTAGTACCCCTGCTTATTCTGTAAAGTAAATGTCCACGACAGAGCAATTGACGTCAGAACGCTAAGTGACGTCTTATTCACTAGGTAGCGCAATTATTTTTATTTTACATTCACAATTGTCTTGCGAAATACGCCAAGTGTCGATTTTGACTATGGTAGTGTGAAATAAAATTAAAACCAAGATATACATTGTGATATTCACTGAGATATCTGGCTGACGCAGTATTTTTTTAGTTTAAATACATCATCAAATATTATGTAAAATGGTATATTATCTAATTTTCTCTAGTTCCACTACTCGAGAACAATTTTGGATACTTTGCAAAAATTTGAAACATATTATATAGAATGAGAGCAGATTTTTCCATTCACATTTCTACCTTCATAATAATCGCGAGGTGGTTAGGGCGCGTGACTCGCAATCTGAAGGTCCCGGGTTCGAATACCCGTCCCACGAAACATACTTGCCCTTTCAGCCGTGAGGACGTTATAATGTGACGGTCAATCCCACTATTCGTTGGTAAAAGAGTACCCCAAGGGTTGGCGGTTGGTGGTGATGTTTGTTTGTTTTGTAATTAAGCACAAAGCTACACATTGTGCTATCTGTGCTCTGCCCACCACTGATATCGAAACCCGGATTCTAGTATTGTAAGTCCGCAGACATTCCGCTGTGCCACTGGGGGGGATTGATGGGGATGACTAGATGCCTTCTCTCTAGTGTTTCAATACTAAATTAGGGACGACTAGCTTTGCGCGAAATTCAAAACAAACCAAACCAATAATGATCGCGTAATTTCACGTTCACAGAAATAAATGAATATATATCTAACTCTTGGAACATTAATTTAGGCCTTGTAGCGCCTGGTAATTAAGGTGCTCGACTTACAATCGAGTCGCTGGTTCGAATTCTATCACCGAATATGCTCGCCTTTTCGACAATGGGGGCGTTATTATTTAACGGTCCATCCCACTATTCGATTAGAGTAGCCCAAGTAGCTCAGATTAAAATAATTTCCAAAGTAGGGATAATTTTTTTAATTGTAAGTAACTCAGTTTTGTAGTTTGACTTTCTTGTTTCAGTACTTTTTGTAGCATTAAACCTTTCTATACTGACATAGGTAGCTAAGTAACGTATATATTGATCCATATTTGTCTTTATAAAATTTATTTATTTTTAATAGACTTTCAGACTTCTGTCTAATGTAATCTCTGAGTAGTCCCAGAGCTGGAAAATAATCCCCTCAGTGTGTTGTCTACTAAAGAATCTTTGTTCGTGTTTGAATTTAATGTTAGAGGATATTGTTCCTTGTCTGGCTCAATTGGAAAGAGTGGTCATTGCCGTAGGAAGCAATTTTTGAGTGGTCAGACCATTGCCATTTCTAGATGGTTCTGGGAGCATGATCCCCAGAAAATGTTTGAAAATTTAATACCATGAGGTTGAATCTTGAGCCACTTTAACTACAAATAATGCATACACACAACGTAATGTATTGAATTAACAGAAGCAAGTTTTAATACATAAGTTGTAGCTATACACGACATGAAATAGGGGTCAGGCCATGGACTGACACCGCTTCCTATGGTTCTGGTAGTGCTTAACAGTATGGAATCGGAAAGCCCTCATGAGCTACTGTTCAAGATGTGATATATCAAACTTTTCCAAACAAAACTTCTAGACTCCCCACATTAAAATAAAAAAGTTGCTTTTGGAATAATTTCCAGTTAAATCTCGAGACACTCCACTTTTTCATGATAGTAATACTAATAATTAGTTTATAATAGAAAATTCAGTTATGCTATTATACTCTATTCAAGTGAAATTGAGTAAATGCAATCAATTGACTTTGGCCAGAGTTTGAAACAACTAATTCCTGTTTCTGAAATTCATGAAATGTGTAAACTTATTGATGGGGATGCAGTGGTGGAAGTAAAATCACACTCCTCTGCTTGAGTCTTGCTTCAGGTGTCTCAATAATGTGAATGGTCTAACTGTCCAACACGGAGGAGCTGCTTTTGAAATGTCACCAGAGACTGGTTAGTTTAGATTACAAGATCCTTGGTGGGCAACAACTGATTAGGATAGAAAAAGGAAGTCCAATACATAATTGGAATGTTTTAATCACTTTTGAGGGAACAGATTTGCCCAATCATATTAATATTGGTTTTAAACTCCTTTCTGTAAGACCTTACATCAATAATCTTGTTACAGTGTACTTATTGCTATAACTCTGGACATACTGTTGTGCACTGTCGAAGTTGGACTTAATTTCCGAAATGTGATAATTCACATGAGGCATGATACTGTAATAAGAAATCCATTAATTGTGATGGAACACATTTTGCCCAGTTCGTCAATGATTCGAAGATATTGAACGCTTAAGTTCAACGGAAGTCTATTATCTTGAGAGAAAAGTTGCGGGACTAACTATAGCCTAGTAGAAGCGACTGTCTTTTCGTATGTGCAAATATGTACGCTGCGTTTTCGTTTTGCCTGTTTTATAATAAAAATTCTTGTCATTTTTTTAACTTTACCCAGTCTCATTATTTTACACACACACACACACTAGAAAGACCCGGTTATCTGATCAGAATTACCTTCCTTATTTCCTGAACGAATCTGTATTTATTTTGAATATTTCTATCTCGTACTTAGGGGAAATCAGTGGTTTTTACCTGAAAATATCATTCCACTGCATTATAGTAGCATATTTATTTGGATGCAAGGTGTCAAACTTTTCCTTAGAGTTTCTTCTTATTGTTCCGTGACTTTTGTAATTTTTTGTCTGTATGACTAACAAAAAAATATAAATTGAAATAAACTGCACTATAAATTTTGAGAACTTGCATCTATTATGTTGCTTTGTCTAAATATACGAAACAAACCAAACTTATTAAGACTTGTCAAACAAATGCCAACGTTACTTTGGAAATTGTCTGCTACACAGTACTGCCCTAAGTCGGCAATTGGTGGACTCTTTCAATATGATATTTTGATTTAAAACAGTTGAACAGTATTGCTCTTGTTTAGAATCTATGTCTGTATTACAGTTGTATTTGAGATATATTTTGTTGGACGTTTTTTTATTATTATTCCGTAAGAACAATGTAAATCCAATCCATTTAAGAAAAAGTAAGGCCTAACTGACAAAAAACTTAACAGTCACTTTCTTCTTGAATTTCCTTTCATATAAACAATGCAAACTCCAAATTTGCCGAATAACACACGCTACCTAACTCACTCACTTTCTAAATATTCATCTGGCTGACTCACCCATTAACTAACTAACTTCTTTGTTTTAGTGTTTTCAAGTGTATCAGATTTATGTACGCTAATAAACATATAACTATGTGAGGTACTAATTTATAGATGAGGAGGGAATATGCGTTGTAGGTTAAATTTAAATATGAATAAACAAAGAGGGCGATTTAAAAATAAGGTTACCGTCTTTGAAATGCAAAAAAGAAAAACTGACACCTTTCTCCCGAGAAGGCAACTCCGCAAACTACCCCCTCTTCGCCGACAGGTCTGGAAGTGGGGGTTCTTTTTGGTTCAAAGCGGAACTCGTTTCCTGTGTAACTTTAGTGCCCAGGGACGAACAAAATTTCCGAAATATCTAATGGTTTCTTTATTGTCACTGCAAATATACATCTTTAGTAAGTTTCATATGATAAGTTGGCCCGGCATGGCTCGACTAGCAATCTGAGGGTCGCGGGTTTGAATCCCCGTCATACCAAACATGCTCGTCCTTTCAGTCGTGGGAACGTTATAATGTGACGGTCAATCCCACTATTCGTTGGTAAAAGAGTAGCCCAAGAGTTGGCGGTGATGACTAGCTGCCTTCCCTCTAGTTTTACACTGCTATATTATGGACTGCTAGCGCAGATAGCCCTCGTGTAGCTTTGCGCGAAATTTAAAACAAACAAACAAACATACGATAAGTATGAAAATGCCATTTCCGCATATTTGCACAGTGCAATTATATAATGAGAGGCCGTCATCAAAGAATGGGAAAAAATAAATGTTAAAAGGCGAGCGGAGCCCCGGTGGAAGTGGGCTGTTCGTTCACACACCCGAACCCCCCTGGCTACGGGCTTGCCCCCCACCCACACATACATTTTAAAAAGTGAATTACAGGACTATGTAAAATAATACTCTATACTAACATGTTACAACAGCCACCTACTCTCCCACACACGACAAAGACAACTGCTGCATTTTCAGCAGTTTTGATATATCATCGTTTAAATTGAGGAAGTGGCAATGATCTTTTATCTGGACAAAGAATCGAGTAATATTAACTATCGCCTTGTAATGTGAAAACAACGAAATCTTTAGGCACACATAAAAAACAAAAACAACAGATTAAATTGTTTTTTGACAACCGGCAAATCCTTAAAAAAAATCGACCAAGTCGGTCAAAAACCGAAGAGGTAGCAACACAATTTTAGAAACTGAATGAGGAACATTAGTAACACTGGGAACTGTACGTGAACTCCTCTTAACAGGTAGTTAACGAAGAGGATAAATGAACATAAGTTATATAGAAATTCTTTGAGACTTTGAGGGACAACAAAAACAGTACTGCTTTTGCAGCCTCGTCAGCTCGTTCATAACCAGTTATCCAACTACAATTAACTTTTCCATCAGAACTGGTAAACCAGTTATAGAGAACTCAATGTTCTCACAGCAAACTAGGGTTGTTACAGCGCCCTTGAGAGTTTAATCAGAACCAATCATCAGCTCAATATCGTGACCCTCACAACATTGGTCAACTGTTTCATTCACTCAACGTCATAAACGGCCAGCAAAGGATATTACAGTGCCACTCCTTTTAGACCGAATAATATATGTTACTGCAATATCCTATCGAACATCAGAGACATCACGTAATATAGGAAACAAATACACAAAACAATTAGAACAAAGAAATTTTAACTTTCTGAACAACGCATTACCAAGAAATTTTTGAAATCTCCATCACTAAAGCAAGTAGAAAACGTATATGCCCACATATCACAATACTAAACCTGCTCTTTTACACATACTGTCCTACAGTCATTGTTTAACAGATCTTTAGAGTCAGTGAATAAAAACTTTCATGAACTATAATAAGCAGATGTTTTTATGCTAAAAAACATTGCATTTTTTTTTGTACTTGTTATATATATTCTGCAACTACTGCTTAAGATAGGTCCTACCTGAACTGTAACTGTTTATTGTAAACTTATGAAACTACATCTCAAGTTCACAAACATATATTGTTAAATTGTCTATAAATACATTTCTTGTGTTTTATCTGGAAATTCTGAACAAACTATAAATCAAGTAAGGAGCACCTATTAAAACTTGCTCATAATGAAAGTATCAGATGCTTATATTCTCTTAAATCATTATCAAACTACTAAATATATATATATATACGTAGAACTAAGAAACATTCCCTAAAAATATGTATTGTAGAGAAAAGTCCTGCAAGTGTGCATACTTTACAAAAGGACATCTTATAAGTGTGAATGTTGTATTGACCGACACTTCGTATAAACAGACTTTGTAGATGTACATATTTTTGAAAAAGGTATGGCTCTATGTAGAAATATATTGTGCTGATACATATCTTGTAAGTATGTTGTATTAAAAGCCACCTTATAAATGTATGTGTGCCCTTTTCAATTTATCAAGCCATTACAAATAAACTGAATGTTTTGTGATATTAATAGGACAAGTTAACTTTTGACAGCATTATAAAGTTACCAAGTGCTTCATGATATTACAAGTGTTAAGTTTTGTGACATTAGTACATCAAAAATTTTCATGTTTGCAAACCATTACAGACATACTGGTTTGTAGCATTAGTAGGACACTTTTAATTTTACCCTGTCATCAAAAGTGGTATTAGTAGGATACCACACAAGTTCTTTATACTTATGATAGTTTTCACACATTAGTATGGCAGTAAGAAATTGTGTATGTTCCAGGTTATAAACATTGTTTTTACATGACCATCTATCATGAAAGTATATTTATATTTTGGGATATTAGCAAGACATTCTTTATATGACATACATGTAATTAAAATACTGTTTCTTCTGAGATACTAGCAGATCAGTCTCTATCATAGGTGCTCACTTGCAGAAATTGATTTTCAGAAAAAAAAAAAAAATACAACATTAAAGAAAATCTCACACAAAATTTAAATGATGAGCAACATCCAGTTGCTCTAGTTAGACCACATCTTACTCATAAAAAAACAACAAAATATGTTTAACATCTGCCAAATAGTTAAGGATGAGATAGATGACATCTTCAAGAATTTTGTGATATCATATATTCCTTTTAATTATTACATTGACAGAACCATTCAGTTAATATAAACAACTACTTTACAACTTTTAGAGTAAAGCAGCACCATTTATGCATGATTTTTACATTAAAACTGTATCAATAAAAGATATTAAGACCTTTAATAGCAACAAGTTATAAAAACTTTTAAAAACCTGATTCGGGTAGTTTGAATCAAGACAAAGATAATTATTACTATTACTTAATGTCCACAATCTTTTCTTCTCTCTTCATTCTTAAGCTAGTAATTAATTTTGCACTTTCTAATCTTTGAAGTTAATCTCTCAATCATAATATAGAACTTTTAATTACCCTCCACTCCTTTAATGTATTTATATTTCATCACCCTATAACATCAATACATAATTCAAAAAAGCTTAAACCACCATGCTTGTTGAAGCCCATACAAATGGTTTTTCCAGTGTAACACTATATTCTGTAAGAAAAAACACACAAACAAAGTGTAACTTGTGCATTATTAAATGCATTCTTATTATAACTCTGCACTTCATTAACAAATTTTTAAATACAACATATCCCTTTCATTAGAACAACAATAAAAACATTTTTTTGTTAGACTAAAGTGCATTTTCTCAGATTCTCCTACAAGCCATCAAGTACAAAAAGTAAAGCTATTTTACTTTTCTGTCAACCTAGATTTAAAAATGACGAAATTATGAAAAAAAAAAGACTGCAGATATTGTGCGTGGATCTTGTAGAAAGAGTAGGCTTAATAGTAAAGTTTTACAAATTATTCCGAATAATGTTATTTTTTCAAACTGTTTTAAAAGAGAAATATTCCAAGCAAATAGCAAATTTATTAAAGCTAATAATATTTGTATAATAAAGAAACTAAACTTAATCTTGGCACAGCATGGAAAATGCTATTATATCCAGTAATGTAATTTAGAATAGCTGTCTGACAAACACCAGTTGTAATGTCCAAAAATTTTTCATGGCTGCCATTTCAAATACACTTGCTGAAGTAGAAGATATAAGTAAATTTAATTGAATTTTGGAAAAAAACAACAAAAAAACTGACACTTGACTGTGTGAATGAAGATTTTATTTTTGACATAGAAACATGAGAATCTCAATCACACAAATCTGGCTTTCTGTTAATAGTCTATTGGACAGCTTCTTTTTATGTCAAATACTTAAAAATATCACTTCTTTTCAACTGACCAGTACTGGATGGTTTAAATATCAAAGAACATTTACTGTTAATTAATCAAAAACAAAGACCATACAAATAGCATTTCACAGCCCAAGTGTTCTGTGTAACTAATCTGCACCTATATGTATTGTCTACATATTTATACACAAACAATTTGTCTTTGTCACTGTTTGCATAAAGAAAATTATAATTTTACCTAAAAGGGAAACCATACACAATCACATCAGAAAATGAACCACTTTTGTATTACATGATTATAATCATTAATATGATAAATTATAGCTATATATCACAGCAGTTGGCAAAAACCTGAGATTTCTAAAACTTTTGTGTATTTTAAAGTAATTTACGGAAAACAAGTTTCTCATGTTTGTTTAAAAAAAAAAATTCAATCTTACCATTATAGAGTAGCCCAGTTTTGGGATGACTTTTTTCCCATAGTACATCAATTAATTAACCCACAATATTACATCATATGTGGCTAACTGAACACTGTAACAATTAAATGGTCCATTTGCTACAGTGATGCAAATGAACTTCTATTAGAATATATTTACAATTTTCACACATACAGCAACATATACAAACAATCAATCTAGTATTTGTTACCCGAAACTTTAACTGGTCCATAGTTTTAAAATGGCTAACGATAAAATGTCCCTGAAACTCCATAATCTTCAGGAAAAAATTTAAATTGGAAACAATGTAAAACAGCTATCTATAGAAAAAAACCTATTAGAGAGATTCAAAGCAAACATCATCAACAACGAGACAGGTTAAGATCAGAGGAGACCTCCATGTTATCACTGGCTGAAGCTTCTGCCTCAGTTGCTGCTGGTGCCACTCCTTGGTTAGAAAGAAAAGCAATGTTTGATGCCTTGACCCTTGGCATATTTCCTGGCAATAAGTAAGGGGATGGACTAAGACAGGGAGTTGAACAACGGGAATTTGTTAAGTCACACTGGTCGATTAATCGAACAAGTTCTTGAGGAGTTGGACCACCAACAGTATTAGATGCTATAAAAAAAGAATGAATTTCAAAAATCAATCCAAAAAAATCTCCAAAATCAACATTAAGTAATTATGAAATGCATGAACACATTATACAAACTTCAAAAATATAAGAAAACAAAATATATTATGTTTAGTTTACTATTAAGCAGTTTTGTGGACAAACAATTTAGCCAATCAAAGTAAAAGTTTGATATCAGATTTTGAAAAGTTAATAAGTAGGATGTTTCAATCTAACCAAAATCATTAAAAAACAATGAATTTTTTCATTGACAGAATAACCAAATTTACAGGAGAGTTAGAAAATATTTAATGAAATATCTGAAAATTTATATATATGTATATATATTATATATAGATGTTTAAGTATCATATCTTTTAAAAGCTTGTCAATAAGACCCACCTTTATAAATGAAATTGCCAAGCACGAATATAAATAAATCAGTAAATTTAAGGATAATACACTATAAAGGATTTTATCAATGTCTAAAATATGGTCAAAATACAATCCTTTTACAGAATTTCTGAGGAAAAAGACTGTACATGTTCTGCTTGTAAAAGTAACTTGTTTTGAAATTCACATGCATAATACTAAAATTCTATCATATATTACACAAGTACAACGATACACCAGACACCTCTTCTTTTACAAAAAAATACTCAAGGAATCCACTTAAAAAGACAAGATGGATTACTGTCTTACCAAAATTAGACCAGAATATTTTGAAAAGAGCTACTGGGGCCATTTATAATTCTCTCAAATAAATAAAAAGAGGTTAAAAAATGACTACTAGGACATTATGATATTGGGAATATTGATAAAATGTTAAATCTGAGACATGACAACTTTCTTCAACATACTTAAAAAAGGAAATACGCTCTTCAAAATTAAGACAAAAATAAAAGTCGCTGTAAGTGCATTATTCAGGACACCCCCATGATGGCCAATGGCATAGTATGTCCTGACAATATTCTTCCACAAAAAGACAGTCAATACACGAGCAGGATACAAAACAAGCATTATCACCAAGGTAAAAAATGCAAAACTTACATTAGGTTTTTGTAATGATTAACTCTTTCAGCATGGGCTTGGTCTCTGGGACCGACCCCATAACCATTTTGTGCTTGTTATAGTTTTCATGCTATAATTTTTAAATTAGTAAGCATATGTTAATGGAATTTGGTATATTATCAGTAAACATTACAATGCTTTCATATGCAAAATATAAATTTTTTTTCTTCTTAAGTCTTAAGGTTTGTAAAGC